GGACGCTCTCACAGAGTACCAGCGTAAAATAGCAGCTTAACGCTGCTGTGTTTCGTATGGTGAGTGTAGAGAACCGGAGACCCTTTTTATTGGAAAAGAGGCATTCCATCTTAATCCTCACGGGTGACAATGCATCTGCATTTTGATTCTTTATTGAGGATAAATATAGATGTCTATGGGCCGCAGCAACCACTTACCATCAGGTGGACTGTGTGGTCGTTTGTCACCCTACTGTGTGCACCTTTGTCACCCTATCCTATAAAAAAGACGTTGTCACCTCTGATGACTAAGATATAATATCTCACTGTCTGTAAACTTAATAAACTACTATACTACCCCTATACTCTTAAGATCGAGACAAAGTAATGAAAGCACTGCTATTTGGCGGCAGATATAGAAAAGCGAGTAGTACCGACGATCCTCTAAAGAGAAAAGAAGTCCTACCAACTGATTTATCATGGTGAGCAGCAAAATTAGCGCAAGCACAGTCAAATTGGCGTTATACTTAAAATGGGTCAAATTAAGAGTACCTTTAACCGACGAGCATGTATGCGTAGGTATATGGTAGGAGGAAGCGAGAGAGGTGTGTCAGCATCGTGTCAAATGGAAGTCCATAGTCTCTGCCTACCCCTCTGGGTGACATGCGTGAGTGTTTGTTTTTTATGTTATGATATAGGAACACGTTGCAGGAATCAGTTTATGGGGTTTTCTTTCAAGAAATTCTTTGTAGCAGCCCGGAGTTAGAAAGTTGACGATGTTTCACCCCTGTGTCTCGGAGATCACGTAAAGCAGTTGTTCCTGCGCCTAATATCTAGAAGTCTCCAGAACTATGAGAGTGAGAGAATATAGAGTAGACCTGTGCTTGAGCACACACTCGTCCACTTAAATCATGTCCTGGACTTCGGACATTCGGTCTAGAGGATTTTATTATCTTATTTACAATATCATTGCCTTAATGTGTGTACCATCAAGTGTGTGGTGACCGACGGTGTCCCTTAAATATATACAGAATATTAAAAGGTTTTCCATTTACCTATAATTCTGATTGAATACTGAACTTATTTATATTAAACCGTTGAAATCGCTATTCAATATCGTACCACCATATAATTGTGATATATGTATGTATACAATAAAGTATATATTATATTAAAGTATGTTGATCCTTGTTGGGACATAATTAACCCACAAAACCATAGATGAGCATTGGTATTTAGATGTAACATTATTAATCAACCACAAATCAGACTATCACATTATAATTAATCTCAGGGGAGAGATTAACAGAGAGATTAAAACAAGCTGTCATTGGAGCCTAGAGTTATGAACGTATTAGGTAACAATGTTGGTTTTTATTCTCAATTGTGAAAGTTAGGTTACAGTTTTTTTTTTAAATTTTACTTGGTACCACTTCGTAAAATTACCAGCTCCTGGTTTATGCTGTTTAGCTCATACCGCAGAGATGATTAACCTGATGTAAGCCGTAAGAAGTGAAATGGCTATGTATAGAGGACTTTTATATATTTATGGTATTCATCTATCTATACGCATAAATAAGTACCACGCCATGAGACGAGTATAATATGTTTGCTTTTACCGTAATCGTAACCGTTCACCTTATCAAAGTCCAATGCTCGACATAGGCCTCTACTAGATTTTTTTAATAGAATAAGGATGACAATTGAGCACACAGTCCAACTGATGATAAGTGGATGCTGTGGCCCATAGACATCTACATTTATCCTCGATTAACAATCATAGATAACGCAGATGCGTTGTGACCAGTAAAAAGGGACTTCGGATAACACTCACCATACGAAACACAGCAGCATTAAGTTGCTCTTTTACGCTGGTATTCTCTTAGAGCGTCGACCGCGGTCGAGCCGACCCATTCATGCTACAACCATAATAAGCGTGGGAAGGACCACGCTCTCACAGAATACCAGCGTAAAATAGCAGCTTAATGCTGATGTGTTTCGTATGGTGAGTGTAGAGAACCGGAGACCCTTTTTACTGGAAAAGAGGCATTCTATCTTAATCCTCGCGACTGACAACGCATCTGCATTTTAATTCGCAAACGAAGATATATGTAGATGTCTATAGGCCACAGCAACCACTTACCATCACGTGGACTGTGTGCTCGCTTGTCACCCTTATTCTATATAAAAAATTAGCTGCAGCGTGGCTCTACCACGTAAAAGATTGCTTCATAGGGGAGATATTTGTCATAACTGCCACGCTTGGCAGGCGGGTTGGCAGGTATAATTTTTATAAAATTATTTTACTTTTTTTTTGTTTCAGAAATATAAACTTTTTTTAAGTACGTGTATATATAGTAGCAATGGAAACATTATGCTCGAAAATATTTTATAGGCAAAACATGTTTTGACATACAAGTGAGGTTTAATAAAACCTTAGAAAAAGCTTTTAATAATTAAGTTTTCCCAATCTTTACTTCTTCTGATCCTCAATTATGCTGACATTTGTTAATGTGATATTAACAAGAAAAAAATAATTAATAAGAATGAGGAACTTCAAAATATCTGTCGTAAAATAGCGGTCATATAATTATGGCCTTAGTAAATTTGAACATGTCTCAAAACAGTGCAACTTAAGTGGCTCCCAATCCGTTCTTGTCTGAATATTATATTCTTTCTGCTTTCTGCGTCTCATTTAATATATCAAGTTCACCCTATCTAAAAAATGTTTTAAATTTATAAACTCATAATCATAATTTTTCCTTGACGTCCAAGGAAACTTTTTCTCTCCAATGTCCTGTGCCCTACTTTATATATTTAATTTAATTTTTTTCCCTGTTAACAGAGTAAAACTTCAAAAAGACTACTTACCTCTGTCGATTAAACGTGATTAAACGTGACGATCCTTACATTTGTTCAAGAAACAAGTTAAGGAAAATTGTTTGTCTCTTTGATCCCCCTCTCATCCTCCTTTCAAATCATATAAAATTCAAACTTATAGCTTCTATGGGATGATTACGATCTGATGTGTCTCAATTATTATAAAGTGTTCGATACGTGATTTACAACACACAAATTAAACAACTGACAACCTAATTAAAGTTTGGGGGTGTACTATAAAAATTATTCTTAATAAAGTGCAATAATTTTTAACTATAATTTTTTCACATTGACGAAATCGAGGATAGATGTAGTCTATGAGCCACATCATCCACTCACAATCCTGTGGACTATGTGCTCGTTTGTCAACCATATTTTAAAAAATGAAGAGAACATTTTATCTAAAGCACATTCAGACATATTGGCTTTCACCATAATATATTAAGGTATGTACTTACGTAGAAACTAGTAGGTACTAGGAAAAAGTAGTTACGTAGAAGTTACTCTACAAATGTAACAACCTAGTTCATACTTATAAAGATAACACGGTAATTCGATCGTAAACTAGGTCCGGCTACTGTGCAGTTGTTATTCCCGCAATAAATTACAAAGTCACAAGTCATGAATGTGGTTCTTACCTCTATAATAATTCAAACAAATGCTGACTCGCTGTCTCACGGACTAAATTAAGGCTAAATTACACGGTGGCTCTGCAAGATGCATCTTAATTGAATTTACTATTTTTCACAAGATTTAAGCGTAGCTTAAATTCAGTATTTGTGATTAAAGTTATTGAAAGTGGTAAAATTAAAAATTTTATACAACCGACTTCAATATAAATAAAATGAGAACATCATTAATGTAGTCGAAGTCAATTAAATACGCATTATTAAGGATAACTCAAAAAGTACTGGTCAGATCTTGTTCAAACTTATATTTTTTTCTAGGATAGGTTGATAAATGAGCACACTGTCCACCTGATAGTAAGTGGTTACTGTGGCCCATAGGCATCTACATCTATCCTCGTATGCGAATCAAAATGCAGATGCTTTGTCACCCGTGAGGACTAAGATGGAATGCCTCTTTTCCAGTAAAAAGGGTCTCCGGTTCTCTACACTCACCATACGAAACACAGCAGTGTTAAGCTGCTAATTTACGTTGGTATTCTGTATTATATGGGGCCACATAAAAAGCACCAGCTATTAAATAAAAAAGTCATGAAAATCGGTTCACCTCGAAAAAAGTTCGAGGTATCGCATAAAAAAGGATTAAAAGAAAATTAAAACGCCAGCAACGCAACTACAGTTCCCTTGGTGTTACATTTGTTTATAGGCGGCGGTAGTCATTTACCATCAGGTGACGCGTATGCTCGTTTACCCCCACTTAAATAAAAAATACAGTCGAATTGAGAACCTACTTCCACTAAAATACAAGAAGTCGATGGATTTAATCGCGGTGTAAGAGAATCCACTACCACATATTATCCCTTAGCTGTAAGAGATGACAAAGGAAAGCTGAAACGCGGAGATTTTCAGCAGCGTCTTCCTGATAACAGATCATAATAACTGCAGTAGCCAAACCACTTGCCAAGCGTGGCAATTTTTGCACATATAACCTCCTAAATGGTATCTTTGTGATAGTATGGCACTGTGATCATCAAACCGCCTACCTAGCGCGACAATTAAGGAAAACCCTCCCTTTAACGGGTAACTCCCATGACCAGTAGTGGACTTTTACGAACTAATTAATAAGATAAATTAGGCAATCAAAGGCACTCATTGGCTTAGTTATATATTTTTTGTTTTTAAGATAATTAATAGAATCAGGCGTTACTTTGCGGAAATCCATTATAATGGGGTTGTTATAAACTAATTTGCTTAATTCCGCGTAAAGAAAGAAAATGATGTGTCCTGTCCAGTTTTAAGGGGACCTCTCACCCTCCCTCAATCGCGCGAACTATGCCCGTCACCGTCTATCCTAGCACTACCACCCCCAGCACCACCACACTAGGCACGACACTCTCGAAAATACTATTTTCGAGAGTGGTGTGTCGTTCCTTGCTAAAGCAAATTAGTTTATAACAACCCCATTTGTTTTATTTTATATAGAATACAGGTGACAAACGAGCACACAATTCAACTGATGGTAAGTGGATGCTGTGACCCATAGAGATTTACACCTATCCCAGATTAAGAATCAAAATGCAGATACGTTGCCACCCGTTAGGAATAAGATGAAATATTTTGTTTCCCGTAAAAAGGGTCCCCGGCTCTCTACATTCGACACACAAACACAGCAGCATTGACCTGGTATTTTACGCTGGTATTCTGTGAGATTTATTGAATCGACATTGTAATGCACCTTAATCTAAAGGTTACAATGGGTGGACTTAAAGGCATTTTCTACCAGTCAACTCTGGGAAAAATTGATAAATAATAGTTGGTAGGTGCTAACAAAAACTGTTAGAAATGACTAGAAATATAATGTAAATAAACAAGATATATGCGCATAGATACTAATATATTAAGAGAGAGAGAGAGAGAGAGAGTATGTGTGAGAAAGAGGGAGAGAGAGAGAGAGAGAGTGAAGAAGAAAGAGAGAGAAAAAATATATTAAGAGTTAACAGCATTTTTTTGTTGTTGCAGACCAAAGAGTGGTTCGATGCTGCTATACAGTCGCAAGAAAGTACGGTACAGGCGCGACGGTTACTGCTGGAAGAAGCGGAAAGACGGAAAAACAACCCGGGAAGATCATATGAAATTAAAAGTTCAGGGAACAGAGGTAAGAATTTCTGTCTATTAGTAAGTATTATTAGTGCTTATTTCTTACCGTATTTGATACGGTCTGTAACTTTAGTCGTTGTATCGGTATGTAGTGATTCGAGTGATGAACTAACGCTATCATAAAATTAATATTGGAATTGTATTCAGGTCTTGTTGAACACAACATATAAAATATTGTATTACCTTGTGAAAATCTGATGGCATTCAACATATCTGTATTAGTTTTGTTAAGAATAGTATGTATTATTGCAGCAAGATCAAAGTAATCAATCTCATTAAAACTAAATTTCCAAAAACCGTCATCTACGCAGGGATTAACACTGACGTGACGTCGAGAGTACCTGTTATCCCTGACATTGCCAAACCAAAGATCGTAGCCAGAAATTGCTAGTGCTAATGATTGGTTTCCCCTAACGATCCATGCGTCCTTGAGCCTGCGATTGTGAAATAACTTAAAGATAAAAGCATCTTCTGTTTTGAGCTCATATTCAGTATAATGATTATCATACTTATTTGCCAACTATATGAAATTTAATCTTCCGTCTTCAGGGAGTAGACCAACAAAAATATCTTCAACTTGCTTTCATGTCATGACATGAATTGCAAGGTACATTAAATAAAGTACGAACCCATTCCAACAAATTAGTACGAGGACAGTGCTTAATGACAAAAGAATGGTATATAAGTAGTTGAATTTATCATTTGCTTTAAATGTGAAGACATAAATTAATTAATATCTATAACTAAAATATATATAAAAATCTAGATGTGATAAAAAAGGCACAGTTTACTTCGCTTTAAAATATTTGTCACATCGGCAATATCAATATTGTCAGTCATAAAATCGTATTTGATAAATTTAGAGAGGTAGATTTGAATTTTCTAGTCATCATCATCATCATCATTACAGCCTTTAGCAAATTATAGAAAATTATAAAATAATGTGCTCTGAATGAATTGTGGTCACGGTCAGTCAAAAAAGTTAAAAAAAAGGCTAATTACATTCAAAAATTTCACCGCTGGACGATTCTCTATCTTAAATAAGAGATCATTTTGTCGTAATCGTTAAACTTGGCAGGTGGATTGGCACTTGCTGTTATCCGTTTCGTGTTCGTGTATTTTATATCTGGTATAATGATGTCTTTAGACCGAATTTCGGTCACGGCGGTCTTAACGGAGATTAGCCATCTGCGCGAGACAGGGTTATAGCGCCCGAGTGTATGCGTTAGCACAGGTGCACTCTCTATTTCCTCATTCTTATAGACCAATAGGACGGTAGTTCGACACACGATCGGAAATAGATTAGACGCAGAACCAAAACTTTATTCCGAGGCATGGGGGCGAAACACCGCCAACTTTCTGATTCTAGATTGCTACTCAGAATTTCTTGACAGAACAACCTAACATCTGATTTTGGCCCGACCCGGAGTATGAATCCGGGACTTCTTGATCAGCAATTACGTTTACGCCCACAACACCCACGAGGCAGTAAATCAAGTTATACAGTTTGATTTAATATATTAAACGACGGCTTGTAAACGACTAATGAACACGAATACAGGTCCCCTCTAGTTATTATTTACAACTCTCGATATTCTTTACAAGGTTATATTATTTTGTGAATATGGTGGATACATTTAGGGAAGGAACTCACTAAGATGGCTCAAAACTAGCGACATAATGCCACTGTATTTTACAGTGAGTCAGGATTACCGGTAACCCTATAATTGGTAATAAGTGGTATTAATTAATATAATCTTGATTATTCGACAAGAATCGTAATAAATTACTATATACCGCAGCAGTATGCTGACTTGTCACTTTTTAATAATATGAAGTAGGTAAGAATCTATGGATCTGACTAAAGAAATATCTATATGCACATTTTCATCTTTGAGATCTATGATAAAGACTTCATAGTAATGATTTATACAAGCTTTTCATGTACTTCAAATAAGGTCGTAATAGTGAACGCTACTTAGCGTGATTGGCAATAATGCTGCCCATTCAGACGGATTTTTAATAAAAATTATTTATAAATACTACTTTGCAAATGATATAGCGAAAGTCGTGATCACGTTGGATGGAATTAGGGATGAAAATTATAAAAGAGGAATTATAAGGCATGATTTAACACCAATAGTGGATTATTTAGGACCTGTTTAACATTTGTTAGCCAGTGCGCGATTAAAGTCCAATAAATTATGTAGTGCTTCTATAATAGAAAATATTTACTGTAATCACCAAACAATGGCCGTGTGAAATGTATTCATGTACTCACATTTTCGACTCCCAGTGTGTTAATATACCAGATATTTTATATCGAATTCATTAAAAAGTAAAACTCGGTACTGACTTCATCAGACACCGTTGCGGTAATGTGGCAATGATTGGATTACGAATTTTACATATTTAAGCTACATTTACGACCGTGTTAATGGGAACTCGTGAGGTCTCATTGCCGCAATTTAAAATGTTTTGACAGCAATTGTTAATCTTTTTTTAATTGATTTACAATCCAGACTATAGCGAAAAATGGGAAGAACTATATTTCGTTTTTCTGGGTTGCTTAATTTATTTTAATTTCTTACGTATAAAAATATTAATATTACTATTTCTTTTGAAATGAATTGCTATGTATAACATATATCTACGTCTTATCTTATTTGCTAAATTTCTGAAATTTTACAAAATATTTATATTAAAAAATATATTTAAGTTGTCACATACGAGTTTCAAGTAATTCAACGTTTAAGAATAGCGATAAAATTAAGGAGACTAATTATTTACGATGTCGTATAATATTATATATTTATATAATATAATATAATATTATACGTAATATAATATGATATGTATATAATATTACGTATAATAATTACGATTATTGGTACATATGAATTATACAACAGTATTTTATATATACGGCAGTAAGTAAATCTATGAATGTTTGTAGAACGCGTACTGTGAATAGTGATTTTTGACCAAGTATATTTTTTTCTATATCCACCGATTTCTCGAAATGGCAAAATCAATTTATACGTTCCTTTTTTGAAAATTCAATCAAAAAAGGGATAAAGATTTTAATGTAAATATTTAAACGACATTCAAGTTGTTACCTCTTTAAATCGGTTTTTACTTTTTATTAAAACGTAAATTTTTATTTATTCCGATCCAAGAGCGTAATAGAGAAATACTGCTAGCAGTAATTAATTGATGATTGTTAAAATGATTTGCTTACTTATTAATATTACTCATTCATTCTTTGATTTTTGATTTTTATTATTTCCATTATAAACAACAAATTATCATCTTTTGATATTAAGCAGGTTCTTATATTCTTGACATGGATACTCATCATAATCATTACAGCTGGTTCACAAGTTTACCGATGAACCTAGTTATCGCCAAGGACCATGATTTGTGGCATTCCTTAGGAAGTAGATGGCTACGGGTGTGCAGCCATCGACTTTCTCTTATCAGTTCGTCATTCTATTTAGTGGGGAGCTGCCATAAACTTCGCTTACCGGTACCATGCTGTTACTTGAGAACCTCCCTTCCCATCGGTTGTTGGTCCTTTGAACTATATGGGCGGCCCATTGCTGCTTCAGCTTACTAATCCGTTGGGCTGGTATCTCCTGGAGCTTGTTGGTAACTTTAGTTCTATTACGATTATCCTCATTTCGCCTCTCTATTGCTCACTGAGCGACCTTGAGTTATCTTTTATAGTCAGCGGTGAACATTGAGTTATATGTACTACGTACTAGAGAAGCCATTCCGAACATTGACTATGTTCAACTGAACTGTAGTGCAATCCATACAAACTAAATATTGCGTAAATTGAAGATTTGTGAATTCCATAAAGTAATTATTATTACATTTTATTTAGAAATATGTTTGCTTAGATTAAATTACGATATTTTATATTAAATTCTTATATTTATTTTATATTAATACCTTATTTTATATTAAATTAAAGTTTTCGCGCATGCGCGACTACTACTCCCGCGCATGCGCGAAGACATAGAGTAGGACACAATTTTTGTTTGGAGTGGCTTCTCTAGTACGTAGTACACATATAACTCAATGGCGGTGTATGACCGCGTTTACGATCCACATGCATTCACTGGAAATATGCACTAGTTGAACACTTGTTTACAAGTTTTGATAAATATCTGACGAAAAGTTGCGTCGTAAACTACAGGATGCAAGATTGTATAATAATGATTGTTCGGTAGTAGACTTGTGAGGGGCTGTAATTTTGATGAAATTCTAATGAGAAACGGGCACACATTCCATTTAATGGTAAGTGGATGCTGCAGCATTTAGCTGCTATTTCACGCCCGTATTCTATGAGAGCGTGGTCCTTCCCCGGTCGAGCCGACTCATTTGTGTAACACTGATAATATAGCTGCAGCATGACTACCACGTATGTATAATTATGTATATAACAATACTAAAATTTTATGCCCTATTTCAAAATTCAAATTCAAATTCAAAATAATTTATTTGTAAAATATAGGTAAAAAAGTTACAAGCTTGGTGGAAATTATATGGTAAGTATCACTATGTTTCGCCTTAGAAGGCATACAAATATTTGGTTAACATGATCATGCATTACTAATATAAATATTGATTAACATTACAATTTCAATAATAATTAGTATGTTTAAGAAAAATTGCATAAATTATTGTTTTTATTATCTATTACCTAATTTTTAATAACATAATAATAAATAAATCGGACATTAATTGTAGGTGCTAAAAACTATTCATTTTGTCATCAAAATATTCGTTAATAGTACTCTATGCTAGTCTATATGCTTTTTATATTAAAAAACCCGAAAGCAATTTCTTATATTCGTCTATGTTATCTGTCTCTTTGATGTTTTTTGGGAGTTTATTAAAAATTTTAGGAGCCATACCCAGGAAACTTTTTGAATATAGCGCTGTTTTGTGAGATTTAATACGCAATGTGTTTCTGTGACGTTTACTATAAGTGGTTTCAAATATGCTAAAATGTTTCCTAACAAACATTGCTACTTCGAATATATATAAAGATGGCTGGGTTAGTATGTTAAGGTCAATGAAATGCGATTTGCAACTATAGGTAGCCTGCAACTGGCTTACTGCTCGTAAGCATTTCTTTTGCGCTCTAAAAACTAATTCGCGTCCTGTGGAGTTTCCCCAAAATATTATACCATATCTCAATATTGAAGAGACGTATGCATGGTAGGCGGTTATGACTGTTTCACGATTTGTTATTTTTAAAAGGTTATGTAGTGCATAGTGATTTTGATTTATCTTTTTTATCATGTGTTCAATATGTTTTCTCCATGTCATTTTTTCGTCTAGCCAAAGTCTGTATGTTCTTTTTCATTTATAATTTTAGTTTTATATTGAATATTAAATATTTGTTGTTGCGACCTTTGTTTGAATGACATAATATGCGTTTTATCTAGATTAATTTTATGATTATTGTCATTTAGCCAGCTTATTATCCTGCATAAATTTTGATTTATGTCCGTTTTAAATGAGACTTTGTCTTGTCCAGTGAATTAGACTGTGCTGTCATTAGCAAATAAGGTCATAGGGTACTGAGTCACTTCCGGTAAATCATTTATATAGACTAGGAATAGTAAAGGACCGAGTACGCTTTGTAACATACCTTCAAACTTATAGAAAAATGTATTTACGGCGTCTATGCTTTCTTTCGGAGATCTATATAAACAAACAATAATTATGCCGTGTTCTATTAATTCCACACCACAACACTCCGCAATGTTAGGGCAGGAATATTGATGTAATTCGACTTTTTTGTACTTCAATTTATTGCTTATTAAAACACACGACCCCCCTCTTCTACTATTTTTCTTAGCGTATGTAGCCAGTTGAAAATTAGCAATGTTCAAATGTTTATTATCACCTTCCTTCATGTTATGCTCCGTAATGCATATCACATCTATATTTTTACCATTTTGTGATAGCTCATGTAAGTGGTAGGCCAATAAGTCCGATTTATGTATTAAACCATTTACATTTTGGTGCAAAATCAATAAAAAATTATACGAGACAAAAATTAGAGTTATTGTATGACCATGTAGACATTATCATCATTACCTAACTTATTTGCATTAATTACCATGTCAGTCTGAGTATAATTATTTATTACGTCTTTTTTAAAATCATTATTATAATTTATTACATCAGTTTGGGTATATTTATTTCGTGAATTAATCGATAAGGATTTGTGAGCAATTTTTTTGTTATATAATTCAAAGTTTAGTTTATAATCTAAATGTAATACTTCTTTTAACAATGTTTTACAAATATTTAAGGCAAAATGTTTCTTATAGTGTAAATAACTACTGTAACCCATATCAATAAATGACACATTCTTGTGTCTTTTGCAAATATATCTAACTAAGTAATTTAATTTATTTTCATTCAAATTCCTGTAATAGGGTACTTCCAACACTATAACATTTGGTTTTGATAAAGTTTGTAAACAGTTCCCAAAAGCAACTTCAAACTGATATGGGTCAGTATCATTTATACCACCAATTATTACAACAATGTCATTTATAGTCAGGCCGGATAAAGACGTATTGATTTGAAGAACGTTGTTTATTTTAGCTCCGGGCTTTAAATAACAGGTAACTTTAAATGAAGGACCTAAAAGTCTTTGCAAGATTTGACAAACATACCGTCCTTGTTGATCAGCAAATATAACAACATTTCGTATCTTTCTCTGTTTGTCCGGATTGGAACTAATGTTAGAAGATGTATTTACCGTATTTTGATTTTGGCTTTTGTTTATACTGCCATTTTGATCAAAACATTTATCGCTATCACGTGGTAAAGGCGTTTCGCTATTTATTGTTTTATTTTCTAGATCTTGACGGGTACACAAGTTTCTGCTGTCAGGAGAAGATGTGATAGGCGAAGATAGTTGTTGGCCACTATTTGGAGTGTTATCTGTATTATATATATTTCTAGTCTTTAATTTTCGTACAGAAGAGGGTCTACTTTCGGTGCATGCTATTTTTTTAAACATGTTTATTACGTCGTAGCATTTATGTAGATCATCTTTTAACTGTTTCATTTCACCGTCCAAGTTATCAATTTCGTTATTGGCCGATAATAGTTTGGTAGTCAGTTCTCCTATTTGTTCACGCATTTCTTCACAGCAACTGTTAGCGCCACCTAGCGACGTATTGGCCAAACTAAACATCGATGTGTCGAGTACAGATGTCTTGGATATATCTTGCATCGACGTAGATCGTTTGTTTTTGTGAATTGTTATGCTATCCATATTCGTAATGTGTACACTAATTTTAATAATTCACAAAAATATAAACTCAGATTCGACCATTGATAAATAAATATGTAGCAAGCTAGACTCGACTCACTGACTGTGTTCAACAAGAAGCGTGCACCACTAGACCACGGAGTATTTAACTGAGTGTTGGAAATCATGAAGTAATTCTTATGATTTATACTATTTAGGTGTTTGTGGGTATGGCTTAATTTGAATTCAACATTTTTTTCAACCGTATTTGTTGTTGTGTTGTATTACACTTTAAAAAAGAAATAAATTTTTTTTTTCATTTTATACGTTTTATGTGATTAACACTGTGCTCATATTTGTTCACTTTTGCTTTTTTTTTTGTTGTTTATTATCACTTCTTTGAACTTCTCTAGATTATTTCACTCACTTTGAACAATGGTATACCTATTTTATTGTTTCTTTATCACAAATTTTATATATTTATCGTTTAAAACATGTCTAGTCGTTTATTGATGTATTATCAATGTTTTTATGACACTGTGATGGTATATTGCACGTTTAAACTATTTTTAAAGTTAAAAGAATTACTGAGCTATGTTGACAGTACGCAACCATTTTCGAATTATACTTCAACGATTATATACCTATATATTATATATTTTATAAAATATTTTAGTAAAAAAAAAACTGATTATTACGGTTTCGCTGTATTTGCAAACAATGTCATTTTAACTTCACAGTTTTTACTTTACTTTTGTTTAATTTTCCGACGATTTATGTTCAATTTTTTATTTTTTAAAAGATTTAATACGGATAACTTCGTGCAAGAGTTGCAGCCATGACCGGTATGTTTATAGTGTGACCAGTTATAGTCTATTTGATACGAAAATGTATATAAAAAGTGCATAAAATTATCGCTAAGAGTTTTTCTACAGGTGTGCGGTTTTTTTACAGAAAAATATTGTTATCTCAATATTTTTTCCTTTAATTTAAGTATTTTAGTTAGTTTATCGTATAATTCGTATACTTTCGAACAATAAGTTATGTTTTCGTGTAAGTACCAAAAGATAATTTAATCAAGTTTTTTTAAGTATATATATACCAGTATTTTAAAGTCATGCTTTATTCTTTGTTCGACATGGCCGTGTATAAGATTTTGATTATATTGATTTTCAACTGTTTAACAGTTTATGCATCAAAGCAAGTCACAGAGTCGGTTAACGCTCTGCTTCCAGAAGATGGACGATTAAATTTTACGCAACTAGCAATCAAGTACGGCCATCCGGCGATTGAATATGAGGTTATAACAGAGGATGGTTACATCCTCAAATTATTTCACATTCCTGGAACTAAAGGGAGACCAGTTTTACTTATGCATGGAATTGCAGACTCAGCAGATACGTGGATTATCAGAGGAAATTTATCTCTAGCCGTGAGTCTAGCTAATTCAGGCTACGATCTTTGGATTGGCAATATTAGAGGTAATAGATATTCACGACATCACGTCAGCCTCAATCCCGACGAAGACGACGCTTTTTGGAATTTTAGTTTCCATGAGAATGGCTTTTATGATTTACCTGCAATAATAGATACCATTCTCAACAAAACTGGTGCTGACATGTTGAACGCTATCGCACATTCACAAGGTAATACATTATTTTACGTATTGTGTTCAACAAGACCAGAGTACAACTCGAAGATTAATGTAATGATGGCATTGGCACCTATATGTTACCTACAAAATGTTCCACCACCTCTTTCAATTTTGATACAACTTTCACCATCGTTGTATAAATTATTAAGTGATTTTGATATAAATGAGATCGGTAATCATAATTCACTATTGAATACGTTTGAGAAAATAATTTGCACTAGACCAAAAATAGGTTACGCAATATGCATTGAAAGTATAGTGTTTCCCATTATTGGTTATGACAATGAAGAGCTTAAACCTGACTTCGTTCCTGTGCTCGTCGGTCACTTTCCTACAAGTGCTTCTACGAAGGGTCTTTATCATTTCGCTCAAGTAGGATTGCGAAAGACTTTCGCGCAGTTTGACTATGGTAATGCAGGAAATCTTGAGAAGTATAATTCTACTTTACCTCCAGTGTATGATTTGAATCTTGTTACAACAAAGATAGTGTTATATGTTGGTTTAAATGATTGTATCTCCACTATAGCTGATGTTGCCATTCTCCGGTCACAACTTCGAAATGTAGTACGTTATATAGTAAGCCCCAGACTGGAATGTAATCATCTTGATCATGTTTGGGGTGAACATATGAATAATTATTTGTTTCCATACATATATGATGTTTTGAAATCATACAAATAAAGAACAATAAATTTAAAGTACAGCATATAATATTTAGCAATATAGATTTTTTTAGTCGTATACATAACAGTATAGAACTGTTATTCAAAAATCATCATTATAAACAACTTTAATGACATGTTATAAATTATAAACCATGCTAAAATTCTATCATAAAAGAAAATATAATATTGAAGTATTTGAAAGCAGTTGTCATGAGTATACAATGTCCGATCCAATATTTTTATTTAATAAACAATGCTCTTGGGTGAATGTTTATTAAACTTGATGTAATTAAATGTATTTGTGAATTGTTTATAAGCTTATTATTGTGATACCCTTATTGTTTTATATAAATAGCTTTGTAATGTAAAATGAACATAGACCGATGACGAGTTTTATCTCGGTGTGAATGTGTTCGGGTATCTCATACCCAACGGTTTCAAAAACAAAGGACTTAAGTAGTTGGATTAAAGGGGGTGTGTGAAGTGGTTGTGAGTGGTTGCAATAATGCTGTGCCTATATTATTGGGGTATACATACATACATATGCACAAACTTACGGTGGGTATGTTATACGCAACCTTACAGTTAGTTAACTTATTTTATTTTGATACTTTGTTTTTATAATTTGCATCATCATCTGGACTGCACTGTCCGTTACAAGTCTACGTTTTAATAATTTGTTATAAGATAAATTTTTCTTAATTTTTATGGTACCATTGCTTTAAAATGACTGTTGGGGTGTGCAGATAAATCACAAGTATCGAAATCTTTCAAAAGGGACTATCAAGGACATTCGTTCACGATTTCTATTTTATAGAGATTTACTGATGTCGACTCCGCATCATAATTATTATCACCGTCACATGTCAGTATAGATGATTAGAAAACTGACTTAATATTTTAAAACTAAAAAAGAACTGATATACATAGGTTTCCGTCATGAATTTGGCAATTTTTCCATTGTTTCTTTATGCAGCTCTGGTTTTTATGTAAAAAACCAAATACTTTCTTTCAAAAGTTGGTTAGTTTTAATATTCTTATTAAAAAATAAACCTATAGGTTATTAATTACTCAGTTATTAATATATAAAACTAACCAATAATAACCAATAAATATTTCTAAATGTCCTATATCATAAAATTCAAGGTTCCCCAGTATATTACTGGTTTTTTCCTTATGGTTAATTGAGGATGTAGTTTTTTTTTTATAGAATAAGGGTGAAAAGAGAGCCCACAGCCCCTCTGATGGTAAGTGGATATCATAGACATCTAAATCTATCCTCGTTTAAGAATCAAAATACAGATGCGTTGTCAACACTGAGCATTAAGACGAAATGCCTTGTTTCCAGAAAAAAAGGGTCTCCGGTTCTCTACATTCGCGATACAAAACACAGCAGCATTAAGCTGCTATTTTACGCTGATATTCTGTGAGAGCGTTGTCCTACCCCGGTCGAGCTGTCCCATTCTTGCTACAACCATAATTGTAGCTGCAGCGTGGCCGTGGCTTTACCACGTTAGTTACGGGAGAAAGTTTTACTGTTCTGATAAAATAATTCATTCTGCTTAAATAAAAGTCTTTGAGTGTAAGAAGCACTAAAAACACAAAAAACAATGAACGTGGTTGTATTATAAATTACCTTTTTTAATTGTTAATTGACCTTTTTTTTAAATAATAAATAATTTAATGGGAAATCCATTCAAAGTAATCGTATACTAAGATTAGTGGCCGTTTATAAGGGTATGTTTTCCACGACTTTTGTATGAAATCAATTTAAAAAAATACTATAAAAAAAGGTGAAAGTTAGATTTTTAAATGAGTATGTATGTTATTGGACTTCGATGGCTGGGGATTGATGAGTACACAAATGAAACCGTTCCAATTAAGTGTGGAGCTGGAGCGGTTCCGCTAATTGGACTCGATAACAGAGTGTGATGTATTTGTTCGTATTTTTTTTTCGCGAGACACGTTTGTAGATTCGGCAGCAATTGAGTGACACAAATGTTTATTATAGATTCCATATTTTTTTGAAATTATTTTAAACTTTTATTTTATTCTGTCAATAAGGTAATATATATATATATATATATATATATATATATGTTTTAAAGAAGTAACCGCCTCCTAGATGTAGATGTATGCTCATTGTGTAACCGCTAAAAAGAACCCCTTTGTCGTATCTCCTCAGTTTCAAGGCACTCCCCTTCTTGCCTCAGCCAGTATCTGAATCCTCGGAGTTGACATATCGAGTGACTTTTCGTGGTCACTTGGAATAGAAGGCCAAATTGGCCTCTAAAAAGCTTGGCGTGCTCAGCAGAGCAGGGCAGACTGCAACTTTATAAGGCACAGGTTCGGCTTCACATGGAATACTGTTCCCATCTCTGGGCAGAGGCTCCCCAGTGCCAGCTCCTTCCACTTGACCGCATCCAGCGCAGAGCGGCTCGAATCATCGACGACCGAGTCTTTTCCGATCGGCTCGATTCATTGGCACTGCGAAAAGATGTTGCATCCCTTTGCATTTTCTTTCGCATCTACCATGGGGAGTGCTCTGAGGAATTGTTCGGATTAATCCCAGCCACCAAATTTCACGATCGCACATCGCGGCAGAACTCCCGATACCATCCACACCATCTGGATGATTGGCGGTCCACCACTGTGCGATTTAAAAGATGTTTTCTTCCTCGCACGACTTCTTTGTGGAATCGATTACCATCAGCGATTTTTCCGGACCGATACGACTTAGGGACCTTCAAGAAAAGAGCGTACTCCTTTTTAAAAGGCCGGCAACGCATCTGCGATTCCCTCCCTGGTGTTGCAGCTGTTCGTGGGCGGCGGTAGTCACTTACCATGATGTGAGCCGCATGCTCGTTTGCCCCCTCTCCTATAAAAAAAAACCGTTATCCACGATCAAAATCAAATTACAGATGCGTTATCACCCCTGAAGACAAAGATGAAATGCTAATTAGAGCATAGATATTTATTTAAGACTAGCTGTGATTCCACGCGACTTCGCCCGCGTGAAATTTGTTACGATTGGATTTTCTGGGTTTTAATTATTTTTGCGCGGAACACTAATTTTTTTACTAAAATAAAAGTAGCTGAAGTTACTTCTTATAATATCATCTATCTGCCAGTGAAAATCCCGTCAAAATTGGTGAAGCCTTTCGCAAATTAGCCGGAACAAACAGACAGACAGACAGGCAACAATTTTAAAAATTGTTGTTATAAGTACCGTAAATACTTTCATACGCATTTAGTAATAAGCTGTTATTTTGACATCACAAACAGACACTTCAATTTTATTTATTTGTATATAATAAAATAATTTTACACTGTGAAGTTAGTACTAAGACAAATAAATAAAATTGAAGTGTCTGTTTGTAATGTCAAAATAATAGCTTTTTACTAATACATATGAAAGTACAACCAGACTGTACAACCAGTGTGTGTTGCCAGTGATGACTTATGGAACTGAGATGTGGTCCTTTACTGCTGGCCGGATGAGGAAGCTCCAGGTCGCTCAGCGAGCTATGGAGAGGGCTATGCTCGGAGTTTCTCTGCGTGATAAACTTAGAAATGAGGATATCCACAGTAGAACCAGAGTGACCGACATAGCCCAACGGATTAGTAAGCTGAAGTGGCAATGGGCCGGCCATATAGCTCGAAGAACCGACAACCGATGGGGAAGAAAGGTTCTCGAGTGGCAGCCTCGTACCGGCAGGCGAAGTGTAGGGCGTCCCCCCACTAGATGGAGTGACGACCTGATAAGATATGCAGGAAGTCGATGGATGCAGGTGGCTCAGGACCGTGCTTTGTGGCATTCTTTGGAGGAGGCCTATGTTCAGCAGTGGACTTGTGAAGGGCTGTAATGATGATGATAGTTATCACTCCTAAAGTACATATATCCTATTTAAAAATATCATCACCATAACATACATAAAAAAACATACAGTCGAATTCATACGGTCGATTGGTAAACCTCCTTTTATTTAAAGTCGGTTAAAAATAATAATGTTACGCGCCACTATTAATGTCTTGTACATGGCAACACTAGTCACACTAGCGCCCTCTAGTGTCGAGTAGCAGAACTAGGAGAGTCGAGATCCTTCCAGAAATTTCGGGACCGATATGTACTCGAACATTCTAGATGTCGCTACAGTAGAAGGTTCTGGAAACTATCTGAGGCCCTATATAAGGCCGGTATAGACCACGACCGGGGCAGTATTGAATTGGCGATACAAGAGATTACTTCGAAGCGAAATAACGGCGAACTGTGTTTTATTATTAGTGTAATTTTAGATTGTAATTAGTGTTGTGTAATTAAAATGTCAATTTTGGTAATTCAATCGGCAGTTTTTAATTGTCTCGAATCCCAAGCTCGTAACAATTGGTGTCAGAAGTGGGATCAAATATGCCGATTTTACCTAAAGACGACACGGAGGGTATCCGTACCCGAAGTCAACGCCAACAGGAGACGGACCAGAGACGAATTGGTAATGCAACGCCGCAAACGTCGGAGGGGCAGCTGCTAACCACGGAGGCCGGCCCGTCAGCAGCTCCTGCATCTGCAGCACCTGACTTAGGTGCTCTGATGATGATGCTGCAGGATCAGGCTCGCCGACAGGAGGAACAGGCTCGCCGACAGGAGGAACAGGCTCGCCGACAGGAGGAACAGGCTCGCCGACAGGAGGAACAGGCCCGCCGACAAGAGGAACAGACCCGTTGGTTGGAAGAGCAGCTGCAGCGCGGTATGGAAGAACAGATGCTCCTCAGGAAGGACCTTCACGCTACCTTCGGGAAAGAGATAAAGGAGGTGAAGGATAGGGTTGCTCAACATGACAACTGCCTGTCGGAAGCTGAAACCCGAATCGACCAAGTGAACAATCGGGTTGACAACGTGATGGCTGATGTGAAGAAAACGCTGGACGACCTCAAACTTGGGGATGGAGTTACAGCTCCCGTGGTAGCTACAACACCTTCGCTACGTGGATTCAAAGTGCCACCGTTCGATGGGACTTC